CAGGAATGCTCGGTGCAGGCCTCCCTCTTACTGCAGCTCCACTAGTGTTTACTTCTTGTCTTTCTCAGTTTCCCTTGAAATGACACAAGGGAGGGTGCCATGGTTCTCACTTTTTACAGAGTGAGACGACATCCCATTTCTGATGCCCTCGAGGAAAATGATTTCATGGAGTAAATGAACCAGTGAATAAAACATATATATGCTCTCCAAGGTCTCCCTCCTCACAGAGTGACACCCGAGGTTCCTAAAGCTCTTTCTGAACAAGCCTTGCGAGAGATGCAATTGCTGCTCAGAAAGACCAACGGCCGCTGCTGAAGGTGAGTGGCTGAGCTGGGGATTCAATCTAACCCTAGTTCTTCCTCCTCACCAGAGGAACAGAAGTTGAACACCTGACTTAACTGGGAAGATTACACCTCCTGTAAATATAAAGAATTTCAGTGGTGGAACATTAGATCCTTCTCTCAGTTACTTTGTGTTTGTTGAATTAAGCTTCCCACTAATGGTGAAAAACAGAGATCTTTTTTTTTATTTTGTGTTTCTGCTCAACTCCCTGAAGCCCAGGGCCAAAGCTGCTGTCCTTACCAACGTCCATCCATTCCGGAGGAATCAGCCGACACTTCTGCCTCTGCTTCAGATTAATGGCCAACCAGACAGGCACTTCCACTGGCAAGCCAGGATTGAAAGGACCCAGATCTCCCTGGAGGACAAATTGAAGATGAGAGAAAGGCAGCAGCGAGGGCTAGGACACCGCAGTACTCATCTGCTAATTTGGCCTCAGTCATCTCCAGAGAGAGTGAGCTTCCAGGGGATTTTGAAAAGCCTGAGTCAAATAGCATCTGAATTTCCTCCTCTCGCTTCCATAATTCTCGCTCTCAGACTTTTCCTCCTCTCCCTTGAGAAGTAATAACTAACGTTTCCAGTGCATTTTCTATTTCAAAGCATTTCACAGAAGTTATAGCCAGAAATTACATCTACTCTCAGACTTTTCCTCCTCTCCCTTGAGAAGTAATAACTAACGTTTCCAGTGCATTTTCTATTTCAAAGCATTTCACAGAAGTTATAGCCAGAAATTACATCTATCCTGGAAACACAGCCCCCCAGGCTCAGGCCGAGGCGCTGTCAGAGGCACGCGGCAGCGGAACACAGCTCACACCACCAGCATGGCAGATCCTGGTACCCGCTGCCAGAGCTGGGGGCTCAGCACCCAGGGCAGTCGGTCACCCCCCCC